GGATCGCCTCACCCCGGCAGGCTGCCCCCCACCCCCGAAAGCTCCATACAAAGAGTTGAACCAAAAACCTCCTTCGTCTTTAAAGAGCACAAGGAAACCCAAGAGCCAAGGAATAACACTGCTGCCAATGGGGCCAGGTACCATCTCACACCTGGGGCGTCCTTCGTCGGCCAATCGCACCGCAGTGCCCAGGGTAGCTAGGCAACGGCCGGTCCAATCGCAACGCGCCCTTCCAGGTTTGGAGGGGCGGGGCGGGGCCACAAGAGACAAGGTGGTGGTGGAGGAACCTAGCGCTGGTGTCCCAGAAGGAGAGAGGGCAAAGACAGGAGCCACCCGCTGGCAGGGGGCTGGGTGGAGAGTCCCAAGAGAGCGGGCAGCCGGGGGGCCACGGTCCTGGCTGGCACAGTCCGGAGCATAACGGAGCCCCCGGGGCGGGAGCTGGTTGGAGCAACTGCTGAGAGCAACGGAGACCCCAGAGGTGGAGGTCCTGGCAGAGTCCGGAGAGCAACGGAGCTCCTGGGGCGGAGGAGACCCCCAGGGCGGAGGTCGTGGCTGGCGGAGTCCGGTGCCCCCGGGGCAGAGGAGGACCCCAGGGCGGAGGTCGTGGATGGCGGAGTCCGGCGCCCCCGGGGCAGAGGAGGACCCCAGGGCGGAGGTCGTGGATGGCGGAGTCCGGCGCCCCCGGGGCAGAGGAGGACCCCAGGGCGGAGGTCGTGGATGGCGGAGTCCGGCGCCCCCGGGGCAGAGGAGGACCCCAGGGCGGAGGTCGTGGATGGCGGAGTCCGGCGCCCCCGGGGCAGAGGAGGACCCCAGGGCGGAGGTCGTGGATGGCGGAGTCCGGCGCCCCCGGGGCAGAGGAGGACCCCAGGGCGGAGGTCGTGGATGGCGGAGTCCGGCGCCCCCGGGGCAGAGGAGGACCCCAGGGCGGAGGTCGTGGATGGCGGAGTCCGGCGCCCCCGGGGCAGAGGAGGACCCCAGGGCGGAGGTCGTGGATGGCGGAGTCCGGCGCCCCCGGGGCAGAGGAGGACCCCAGGGCGGAGGTCGTGGATGGCGGAGTCCGGCGCCCCCGGGGCAGAGGAGGACCCCAGGGCGGAGGTCGTGGATGGCGGAGTCCGGCGCCCCCGGGGCAGAGGAGGACCCCAGGGCGGAGGTCGTGGATGGCGGAGTCCGGCGCCCCCGGGGCAGAGGAGGACCCCAGGGCGGAGGTCGTGGATGGCGGAGTCCGGCGCCCCCGGGGCAGAGGAGGACCCCAGGGCGGAGGTCGTGGATGGCGGAGTCCGGCGCCCCCGGGGCAGAGGAGGACCCCAGGGCGGAGGTCGTGGATGGCGGAGTCCGGCGCCCCCGGGGCAGAGGAGGACCCCAGGGCGGAGGTCGTGGATGGCGGAGTCCGGCGCCCCCGGGGCAGAGGAGGACCCCAGGGGCGGGGGAGGCGACATTGTGCAGCCCCAACCCCACCGCAGCCCCCCAGGCCCTGCGCCCTCAGACTATGGCTAACGGGGGGGCCAGGGGGAGGCTTGGCTGGCTCTGGCTGGGGGCGCCCAGGAG